TTAATTAATTTATAATATATTATATTATAAATAAATTTTATTATAAAATAATAAATTTCAAAGTAATGTATATAATAAAATAATTTGGAACATACTTAATTTTAATGTAAGTTGAATTAGAATTTTTTAACATTTAGTTTATTTTAGAAGTTGTTACAACTTATTTTTATTAGAAATTAATATAGATGTCTTTTAAATCTACATTAATCCTATTTTGATAAATAACATAATAACTAAAGTTATACTTAACTAAAATTAGCTTGTAATTTTATATTAATTTTAGGCTCAATATACAAATAAAAATTCTGTTTGGATTTTTTCCTAAATTTTTTAATTTGTATTTTTTTTTTTCAATTTTCTATTATATAATTTATTAAAATTGCTAAACATTTAGTTCAGACTAAATTAATTTTAAAAATATGATTAATTAGACTAAAATACAAATCATATGAAAAAACAAGCAGTATTTATAATTAATTTAACATATATATATAATTTCTTATTTGATATAATTGAATATAAAATCTATTAAATATCATATTATTATTAAAATAAGTTTATAACAACTAAAGAATCTTTAATTAATAGGTCAAAAAATAAGTATTTGTTATTATAATAAATATTTATATAATTATAATCTTAATATAATTTATTATATTGTTACAGGTTGAATAATTAAGAATATAAATAGAAAAAATACAATGAATTATCATTATAAAAATATTAATATTGTATAATATTACTCAAAAGTAAGAATGAGACAATTACAATTTAACATAGATTAAGACAAACTTTTTAAAAATATTGTTATTTTATATATTAAAAGAGTTTTTATTTATAAATTTATTATTGTATAGAAGTTACACTTTCTTGTTCTTAATTCCTTTTTATAAAAAAAAAATTTATTTCTTTTATAATAAATTTTATTATATAAAAGATATATACAAGATTGTAATCTTTTTTTATTACTTTTATTGAATTCTCACTTTGTTTTATCTTATTTGTACCAACTTTTTATCTTTTTTATATACAATATTTTGTTACTATAACTTTTCTTAGTTGAAATAGTACAGAAGAGAAATGTTTCTATATCATTTTTTTATAATAAAATTCCAACATTGTTATCACAATTGCACTCTTTTATTATTTCCTCACTCTTATCTAAATAAGATAACATTAAACTAATGTCCATTCCCTGTTATTATGGTGCAAACAAGTAAATATTGATCAACTTTTTCTTATTGAATGAGTGGTTCTCTATGTTGGAGCTTGACATATGATCCTTCTTAATCACATGATTTCAATTGAATATGTTTTAAGTAGATCATTGTGCATACTACTGATTTGGTAATAGGGTTACTATGATAATCTTTTCTTGGGTAAGACAATATAGTTGTATGATGAAAGTATAGAATATTTTAAAAATATATTACTAATTCTATTAGTAATAATTTTTGTATAAACTTTGTAAGTATATTCAATAAAACTTATTAGGTGAGTAAAGCTAAGGTCTTCATTGAATGTATTCTGTTTAAGAATAGGTAGATGAAATATTTTTATTAGTAAAAACAGAAATTTGTCATTTAATTTACAAACTTTTTGTCACAAACCATCTTTTTTGACAAAATTTATTATTAATTGAATATTCAAAAATATCTCTCAAGTAATTTAATTATGGATCCAACTCTCATCATCAATGAATTATTATGATTTTATTCATTATGCTAAAAAGTTATAAAAAACAAAAAAGCAATCACAAATGTTTACAATATTTTAATATGGCAATAATTTCTCCATTTGGTGCAACAGTCAAATATATATCAACGAACTACGTAAATACAGTGATAGCGATGACAAATAAAAAATATTAATAAATCGCTCAAGTATCAATTAAGTATCAATTGCAATTCTTATGTGCATCGGCACGTTTACTAGCTAATCGCATAGAGAATAACGTTAGATTATTCATAATTTGCATATTTGTATTGTCTACAAAATTTTATATACGTAAAAATAATTATAGTTGTGTACTATTACAACCATTAGATAATCACATCGGAGGTAAAGTTTGAGAACTCTCCAAAAAACTTGACTTAAATCAGCATTGTTAAACGACTAGTTCGGTTATCGTTATATTATTTATTACACTACTTATTAAACAACTATGACAAAATGAGTATGATAATTGCCAATGAAAAAGCGCTTCATCAAACTGACTTCAAAAACGACCATAAATTCTCGAAATAACGAACATTCGCGTTGTTTTAAGTAAGCCCATGGACGTTATTTTGAAATAACAATTGTTTTTTTAAACGTGAAAACTCTTCACAATTAATATAATAAGTTAAAAAAGAATGAGAAGAATTATTATGCTTTTTATTTAGAGACGCGCATAGATGTTCTGTTTTTATTGGACATAATTTTTTCGAAATAATAATTCCTAATATTTCCGAATTTACGATATGCATAATCTCTATACAAGAGATTGAAGTTTCGGTACATGAACATGAAATTGATTTTAATTGAAAAAAATGTAAGAAAATTTTTTTATATTTCTTACAATACAAATCGAATATCATGAGCTTTTATCTACGAAATTACTAGGTAAAAAACTACATGAATTTATAATATATGACTACATAATTTTTCACGAATATCTTATGCATTCAGTAATACTACACAAAAAACAACATATTTTTATATTAATTGTCAGGTAACTTTACAATCATATAAATTTATATCAAACAACTACATAGTATTATTAATATATAGACCTTCAAAGTTTATGATGAATCTCGATCTGAATTAGCCAATAAAAACAATTTTGCTCATGCTGGTTTTTAGATTTCCTTCATACGTACATAATTTGTAACTTAGCTCAAAATTTATTCTGCATTAAAAGAATTTCAGCCAAGTTAAAACAAATTATTCTAAAATAAATACAGTATTATTATATATTTATACTTCCTAGTTTTCGCTTAGCAACACTCAAATCAGATACTTAGACAAATCCTGTATTTTCTCTGTGAAATTGACCAATTCTGAAACTTGTTTACCTAAACCCAATGACTTATCAAAAGATTTGAAGAGTGGAAAGTCGAGTTTCAGTCATCGTTTCTTACATTACAATTATCATGTGATTGCTCTACCTTTTACTTTTCATAAGACTGGTCTCAATCAGTTACAAAAAATAAAACCGGTTTCCATTTCATTTTTTATAAGACTAATCTCAGGCAGCTATTACATACAAAAAATAAAAATCGGTTCAACATAAACCATCAAAATAATCATCATACAATGTCAAGATATCATGGAAAATCAATGTCAAGACATCATGTAAAATTCTTTTTCTCAACAATAGCTTTCTATTCACTCTATTATTGATTAACAATCGGACATGTAACATAGAAAAGCATTGAATTAAGAAATTTAGTGAATACTTCTAAAAATTATTTGTGGGTACTATTGGTATTTTTAAAGTGTCAAATACTCTACTTATATATTTAAGTTAAAAATGAGTTATTGAAATTTTCTAACTAAAAAAGACCAATACAACTAAAACATCATTAAGTGCTCCATTGTTGCGATCTGGCATTTAACACCAAGTTTTAGCAATTGAGCGTAAACATGTTTTTTAAAAGGTGTTCGCTTAATGAAGAGCAATGCGTCTCAAACAAGTGTGGGAGAAGTTGGTATTTATGATTATTTAGTAATTTATATTGGCTAAATTGCTTTATTTGTGGTTCCTGTGATCTAGATTTTAATTTACTCCGGTTGAATTTTAAGTACCGTAATATGTAACAAAATTAAGGAAATACTATTTTAGTAGTTATGTAGGAATGTACTTTACTATTTACTGCACAAGATATTGATTATTTTCTTAATGACCGTACCAAATATCGAGAAGCAAATTCCTCGTTAAGCGATCCTTTTTATGTACAAATTTTCATTGATGTAAAAAAGAATAAAGTAATATCTACGAACAATCATGTTTGAAAAAAATCGTAAAATCATCCAATAATAAAAAAAAATCAAGTCTTGAAAAAAAGCTGATACAATCATTCCTTCTCAAGTAACACAATTATATAATTTTAAACCAAAATATATCCGCTTTGAAAACAACGCTTACTTTTCAAATTTTGTATAAACCATATTTCAGTACTAAGTAAGTTTTTTCTTGACCGATTTTATTATCTAATACTGTAATAAGGTTCAAAGATACATTGAGGGGCTAAATAGATATATAAAAATTATATTTATTTATAAATTTAAATCAAAAAATTATAACCATTTTCATGATATTAGAATTTCTGAGAGTATAAAATAAAATATACTCGCCAAATAGTGTTAATCTTTAGCATTAATTAGAAATATGGACTGATGTGCATATCTGAAATATACACTTGAAGTAGCAACGACCTATTTTGATTTTTATTCAAAGAGATTTAGGAATCACTTACGTATTTAGATTGACAATTTAAGGAATTTATTTCCAGTGTTTCGACCTTAGAACGACTTTGCCATAAAAATTTTTTTAAAAAATCCGAAGAAATATTTTTTAGAAACTACAATTGATGAAATTTATTCTGATAAAAGAATTATTTTTATTATAGTGAAAATTTCAATCGTTACTATGTTTTATTATAAAAATTATCACGTGTCGCATTATTTGCATTTACGTTTGACATTCATACGTACGTTCTTTTCATATAATCATGTTAACTTTATATGCATGAATACTATGCAGTCATCAGAATTTTTGGGCATCAGAAATTTTTTAAAACTGCAGATAGCGTGTAATAATTATCCGAAGTATAACTTTGGATGATTGAACTAGCACCTGATCATGGATACAATGACATTTTAAACGTTAAATTTATCGTTTTTAAAATATATATAATTTAGTTTAGTTATGTAATAATGATATAGAATCTATTAAATAATATAAATAAGTAAAAATAAATAAATAAACCAATATTACACATGTATCTATCAATCTATCATGCTAAGGGAATGAATTCTTTTCTAACAATCCAAGGTTTAACTTCCAATTCATTATCTTCATCAACACCCTTTTTAGGTTTGATTAAATTTCCAGTTTTTTTAACATCATCAATTTCCCAACCTCTAATTTCAACAACAATTTCTTCAGTATTAACAGTTTCCCAAGAATATACCATCATAGTAATTTGATTTTCATCGTCGCCAAATTTTAATAAACCATCCATTAAATAATAATCATGTTGAGCACAATCACCATTACCATAATACCTTCCAATTAATGTATCATTTAAAAATATATATGAAGTAAATGCACCATAAAGTACCAATCTTAATGGTGCATTCAATATATCCTTAAATTTACTTTCTATAGGATGAGAAAATCTAAAACTCCACCATTTTATTCCATCATTAGGTAAAACACCATGAGCACAAATTCCTTTTTCACTTTCTTTCCAATCTAAATTTTTACGTTCATTAGGTATTCCAGTAGTATTATAAGAATTATCTAATTTACGTAAATCAACACCACAAATACTCCAAGATAATTTTGTTTCTTTAATTAATCCATCAATATTTGCAGAAATTAAACCTCGAGGATTTGTTACATCGTTAAATACAACAGATTGTCGACTTAATCCCCAACTTTCTACCAAGATTACCACGGAATTTTTTTCTTCATTACCATTTGAATGAAGAAATTGTGTTATATTATATTTTTCTTCCCCGAAATTTTTAAATAATTCAGGTCCATTCTTTGATCCAGGAAAGAAAAGTTGTCTTGAAAATGTAGTATGACCACCAGCGAATTGTCCATTAACAAATATAGTACATCTATGTCTCATATTAACGGACAATTGTACTTTAGTAGAAGAATATTTACTTGGAAATTTTGTACTATATAATATATGACCTGATGCGTAAAAATTTTCAACTGGTCCACCATTTTTAAGTTCAATTGACCTCCAATCTAAATCATTAAAATCCGTAGTAAAATAACACCATCTTACTAATTTAGGTACCAAGTGTACTTCTGAAGTTTTTTCACCAGCAGTGAATTGTTTTTTATGAACAAAAGGTAAAGGATAAGTTGGATGAGATTGAAAACGAACATGATCAGCAGGTTCACGAGATGATAAAATTGAAATTTCATGTTCTTGATCACCATAATGAGTTTCCAAAATGGAATTTGAATGATCAAAATAAACATTTTGAGTACCCCAAGTAACAATTAAAGGAGAATAAGGAAAAAGATTATTAGATTTTAACCAATAAGGATCTTCAAAAGTAGCGTGAAGTGTGCTTAAAGATTCATTATGTAAAGCTAAAATATATAAATCTCCTTTAGAATCAACACTTCTAATTCTTGCGAATCCACAAACAGCATCGAAAGAAACGATATGAATAGCATGACCAACTTTTCTTATAGAAGATGCAAGATTTCCATCAACAGTAACTTCACCTTGAAAAGCCAATTCACCAACATCATTTACAGGAATTAACCAAATCTCATTTAAATTATTTTGAATTATTCTTAAATGAATAGGTAAAGTAGAAAAAATTAATTTAAGACCGGTTATAGTAGTATAATTACCTAAAGCTATAAAAGAAGTTTTATAAGGTAATAAACAACTCATATAAAATTTTTGTTCACGTCTTTGACCTTCTTTATAAGTGACATAAACTTGAAATATAGGAATTTTTTGATCATTAAAATTTCGAAAAAATGAAAATAAAACTTCTTCACCACGTTTTACGTTTTTCATCACAGATTTCCTTTGAAGATTGAATACATTCTTTATAGAAGTGGTGACATTTGGATTTTTAACACGTTCAGTTTTAGTGAATACATCAGAAAAACTTCTTATAAAATGAATTCCTAAACGTAATTCACGGATACGAGAAGACATGTAACCGTATTCACGTATACAAGCAGAATAATCGTAAGAAGTATAACCATCACTATGAAATATTAAATTAAATTAGAAATTAAATTAGAAATTAAAATGAGTGCATGAGAGTGATAACTTTGTAACCAATCATTAGTAAATCATTAAATGTTTTTCTCTCACGCATTCACATTATCATATTGATAGAATAGATGAAATAAAAAGAAATTTACATATCGCCAAGAGTTCCCCAATTTGTTCCACCATATACCATATAGATTGATGACATAGTACAACCCTGAGCTAGCACGGATTCATAGATAGTACGTGTAAAAGCATCACCATAAAAATTATAAACATCATCGAAAGTATGTTGTAATTTATAGGTAGTGAACCAACCACCTTGGAGTTCCGGAATAAATATTGGAGTCTAAATTATGAAATGAATTGCGAGATATTTTTTGACATAATGCGATATAAAAGTGAAATTATCATAATATAAATAACAATAATAATAATAGTAATAATAATAATAATTATAATAATAATAATACGTTTGCAGCTTCATAACCAAAACCACGTGTTTTTTGCTCAATTCCATCTAGAGAACTTGATACATCTTTCACTTTCCAAGGTTTCCATTTTTTTGGATCTTGTTCTATTTTAAGAGCCCATGGAGTTGGATTACTAGCAGGGACAAATACTAATAAAAAAAAAAAATCATAAGGATTTATAAGAATTCTACAAGATAATAATGATAATAATATAATATAATATTATATAATATAATTAACCAAATATAATTAATAATAAAATCTAATGAATATACATACCTAAATATTTGTCAAAACCGTAAAGATCCAAACCAAAACTTCGACGATTAAAGAAATTAGAAGATGGTTTACTAATAAAAGAACCTAATTCCATTGGATCATTCGTAAATAATGGCACATTAATTCCACAATCTCTAGCCACTTTACATAAAAACCTCATCTCATCGTGTAAACCAAATGGAAGGCTTATAATTTTTTCAATTAATTCATTTTCAATTTGAACAGCTATAACACAACCACTCGATTTTTCAGTTATTTGATGTTTAGCGATAATAGGTAGAATATTTTCAAACCATTGTTTTTGATAATCAGAGAATTCAGGATCATATTTCTTAAAACCTGTAAATGATATATGACGTACTCTCTTTACTTTTTCAACTACCCAAAAAGGAATACCACCAGCTTGAGTTTCAGCACAAATATAAGGTCCAGGAGCAGCAAGAACATAAAGATTTAAACTTTCACATAAATTTAATAAATAATTAATGTCTCTGTTATCTTCAAAATTATAAATTCCATTATCCGGACTATGATAACCCCAATGAAAATAAATACGAATACAATTAAAACCTCCAGCACGATACTTTTTTAAGATACTCTCCCAACGAGATTTATCAGGAAGACGCCAATAATGAAATTCACCACTTATAATTAATGTTGGTTTACCATGAATATAAAGACAGAATTTATCCCAATTAAGGATATCTCCATATTTACTTTTGTCATAAGCACAGTCAGCAGTAGTTATAGGTAAACTACCTTTACGAGATTGAAGTAGCCATAAATAAAAAGCCACTAAACCAGCTGGAAGAATTGTTAAAAGTGCAGCAAGTTCAGGAATGGCCATTAAATTTTTTTTTTAAAAAAATGATGAATTGTATTTTTTTTGGAGGGAGAAATTGGGTTAATTCTCGAAAAATGAATTTCGGCGCAATTACCAAAGTACAAAAAAACGAAAACAGATAAATTGATTTAAAAAAAATCAGTCTTAATTATCATTGGCTAATCAACATTTGCAACTGATTAGTTATATAAAAAGGGCTGAATGATGTGCAAATTACGTAGTATTTTTTTCACATGAAATTCTGGCCCGCATTATGGTAGCTCGCTGTTAATGCGGACCAGAATTATTAAATTCCGAACCACCCGTGCGCACAACGTTTCACGTGACTTATAGGCACAACATCGGCCTGAGTTAGGGTTAGAGTTAGGCATATGGGTTGTTGTCCAGCAAAACCATTCTTAGAATATATATTTTATATATATATACTCTAAGCATGGTTTTGCTAGGCAACAACCCATATTTTAGTAATGCCGGTCATTGTTGTTCCCATCATATATATAATCCGAAGTTTTCAATCCGCGGTGATTATACTAGAGAATTAACTTTTATCCTTCATATTTTTCTAAATCCTTTATCTACTAAATTCTCTTTTGTCTTCAAAAGAAAACAATTTCCTATACACACAGCTTATTCTATAATGATATATAAGTTGCAAGATTAATCAATTAAACATGTTGGCTTAGATCTTTGAACATCAGTATTCTCTTATAGTCAATTTTATGTTGCCCTTTTACACAGTTCTTCCCCAACAATGCCAGGGCGTAGGATCGATTTTACTGTCACATGATTTTCCGACATATACCAGCCAATCAAAGATCAGGATCAGGTGTAACGTAAAGAAATCCAAAACAAACGTTCGTTTTGCAAAAATTGCATTTATCTCGAAATTTAGTCTAGTAAACCGTCTTTGGAGTCTTAACAAAAAAATTCCTTTGTTTAATTTTGCTATACTATAGTTCTTCTAACCTTACCCTAAACTCTAACTCAAATATAAAAGAAGTTTTTAACTTAGCAGCATTTGTCTTCCAAGAATCATGTGACAGCAAAATCGATCCTGCGCCCTGTTAAAATTGTTCTTCCCCAACCTCAATAAAAGTTTTTTTTCCTTAAAAAAGTATTGACACAATGATGCCAAATATAGTATATCCCAAAATCTTTTTAAAAACCTAAATATAACTTTATAACATAAAATTTACTAACTTTTTATTATACATCATGCACATTATTTTATAATTAATATAACATTAATATTTTAAACAAAATAAACCAACACAACTATATCAACTAACCTATTCAAAACATTCTAACAATGATCAAAATACATTTTATAAAAAAGTATTTTTTTTATTCTATTGCCCAAAAAACATAAATTTATTTTTCTATTTTTAACTCTAAATAAACATCATGTTTATTATTCATAATTACTATTATTTCAAATACATTATTAATCACTAACTCATTGTATTAATCATAATATTCAATAACTAACTATCACATAAATCATATAAATAATATATAAAAATACTTATTAAATTAAATAGAATAAATAAATATATTTAAATATCTAATTTAAATACTGAAATTATATAAAACAAACTCAAACAATTAATAAAAAGTAACTAAATATTAACTAAATACCAAACTTAAAACCTTCCAAACTATTAATTATTTAATTAATATAACTAAATCAAATTATATTATATAATACTCTTCTATTAAAATAATAATAGTAATATCTAACTTAACAAAAAAAAATGTAAACCAAAATCTATTAAAACAATATATTATCTAATCTTCATATTTTACAATTAACAAACAGAAATTTCAATCAAATATTACTTTATTTTAACCTGTGTTCAATGACACAAATTTATACTAATAAGTATATAAGTATATAAAATGTTGTTTTGATATATTGAAAATCATAAATAATGCAACAAAAAAAATTTAGCTTGATTGTATAATTTTTTTTATTTTATTTACAAATAGTAATATTATTATTAATTAAAAAGTCTTAAAAATTTATGATCAAAATTTTTTCTAGATATGAGTTTTATTTCAATTTATATGTTGTATTATTTTTATTCATTTAAAAAATTTTTTTTAAATATAAAACATTTTTTTATTTAATAATTCTTAGCCATCACTATTTGATATAATTGTACTAGACTTTAATTATTTTTTTTTTTTTAAATATTAAGGTGAGTACTTGCAACTCAGAATTTTATTGATAGTATATTTAGCTAATAGTTGCATTACAATCACAAAAGGCAACTATGAAAAGAGTGTACAACTAGCCACTTGTACAACTTTAGTTATTGTCTAATTTAAGTAGTCTGCTCAAAGGTTCTACACT